CAGGGGCAACTGGGAGGTGGCGGGGACGCCCGTCCTGCCCTACAAGCAGGGGCCCTGGTGCTCCCTCTGCACCGCCAGCCTCTCTGGCTGCTTCAAGTCCTGGGACCACGGCGGCGGGCTCTGCGGTGAGTCCCCACCATCCCCTCGGCCCCTGCATGGGCCCCGGCCGTGCCTCAGCCCTTGACGCCCATGCCGCCTCTTTGCTGCACCCAGAGGTGCCCAGGAACCCCTGTCGAATGAGCTGCAGGAACAACGGGCGCCTCAACATGAGCAGCTGCCAGTGTGCCTGTCCCCCCGGCTACACGGGCAGGTACTGCCAAGGTGAGAGGGGCACCTGCGCAACCCCTGCCTCCCCTCGCCTCCAGAGATGCATGTGCATGGCCGCCGCAGTGCATGCATGCAAAGGGTTGGTGTAGTGCATGCATGTGCATGGCCAGTGCAACCTGTGCATGCACAGGGTTAAGTGCAGTGCACGCGTGTGGATGGGCAGTGCACTGCAAACACACATAGGGTCAGTGCAGTGCATGTGTGTGCATGGCTGGTGCAGTGCCTGCATGCACAAGGTCAGTGCAGTGCATGCATACACAGGGCAGGTGCAGCGCATGTATGTGCATGGACAGTGCACTGCGTGAGTGTGCAGTGTTGGTGCAGTGTCTGCGTCTGCCATGGCCAGTGGAATATAGGCATGCACAGGGTTAGGAGCAGAGCATGCATGTGCGTGGGCAGTGCGCTGCATGCACATGTAGGGTCAGTGTACTGCATGCACTTGCAGGGTCAGTGCACTGCATGCATGCATAGAGTAGGTGGAGTGCTTGCATGTGCATGAACAGTGCAGTGCATGCATGTGCAGTGTCAGTGCAGTGCATATGCGTGCATGGCTGGCACAGTGCGTGTGTGCCAAGGATTGGTGCAGCGCATGCATGCACAGGTCCAGTGCAGCACATGCATGTGCATGGCTGGCGCAGTGCATGTGCGTGCAGTGTCGGTGCAGTGCTCACAATGTCGGTGCAGTGCATGCAGGTACAGGGTCAGTGCAGTGCATGCATGGGCATGGCCAGTGCAGCATTGACGGTCTGCTGGGCGCCTGTGTGCACACAGTGGTGCCACATGTGCATGCACCAGCTCCACTCCTTGCCCGTGTGTGCACGGCCAGCACAGCACAGGCAGCTCAGCGCAGCGCCCTGCTCTGCAGCCCGAGCTCGGCTGGGGCAGGCAGGG